ACAGCGCCACGTACAGGTTCGGCATATGTACTGCAGCTTTTCCAGTGTTTGGATGTAAACGGAGCCGTCTCGTGGAGCTTGACACAATCCGGTGTATATTGCGTGGGGACGGAAGGTTTTTTGCGGTTGCATTTGCGTTACTCCGATGCGTTTTGCCGTATTTGTCCTCGTGGAGCCGGGGCCTAAGACGAGACGATAACGAGCTAAAAATAGATTCTTGATAACGAAAATTTGACGAAATGTATATTTAGTTTTCGTTGATGAGACGAGACGGGACTAAGGTGTTAATGGTGGACTAGCGGACATTCAAAATGCAGCATATTTTCCCCCAATTGCCCGTCTTGTCTGCCAAAATGCATCTTACATTTCTAACTTGCAATATCTATTTCCGCTCTCTTCACTCCAGAAGAGCGATCTCCCTCTCTCTCTGTGTGCGGGGGGCGGGGCCTAACAGACACACTGCAGCGGCACAGAGATCTGCCGGGGACGGAGCGTTCAGAAGTATAGAGACACTACAAGGCTCGATGTGGACAAAGCTCGTTTGCCATGTTTTCGCGTTAGCGCGTTGAAACGAGTAGAGTAGTCTGTCCAAACAGCCGGCCAAAAGGCGTCATATTCAATCGGAGAAATGCACAATTGTCGACTTCCTTAACTCGTAGCTCTGTTGCCCCAATTACGAGTAACGTTATCACATCAGGTGTGCAGAGGTGGGAGAAGTACTCAGATATTGTCGCTAAGTAAAAAAATACCATAGTGTAGGAAGAGTTCCTCAAGTCAAAGTATGATCATCAAAATATATTTAAAGTAGCGACAGTACAAGTAGTGATTGTGCAGATTGTTCCATTTCAGAATAATATATATGATATGTTTTATAATGATTGATCATTAAAGTGTTCTCAAAGCTGGTAAAGGTGCAGCTAGTTTGAATGATATATTATATATCTGTATACTGCAGGGTAGCTTGTGAATTTACTAAAGTCTGAGTTAACACTTGATTATATTTCACATCAAATCAAATCAAATCAAGTTTTATTTATAAAGCACATTTAAAAGCGATTTTTGGTCGAGCCAAAGTGCTGTACATGTAATAAAAACACATTACTACAAAACACAATAATAATAAACATCATTCATCCACATCTGCAAAGTAACTAAAGGTATTAAATACATGTAGTGGAGTAGAAGTACACCATTTAACTATGAACTGTAGTGGAGTAGAAGTACACAGTAGCAAAACATTTAAATACTCCAGTAAAGTACAAGTACCTCAACATTTTACTCAAGTACAGTACAATATTTTAACATAATTATATATATTTAATTTATTTCACATTTTAAATAAAGCAATTAATTCGGTTAACAATTTGTTAGTTTTTTCCTTTAAAAAATAACAAAAAGTAAATACAAGAATACCGTTAAAGTACCGGATCAATAAGCAGTATTGATAAGACTAGTAGTACTGTTAAAAACCTTAGCGATACCCATCCCTAGATATTACACAAGTAAAGTGTTAAGAGAGTGAAATGTTGCTTTACGAATTTCAACACTTGATGCTGTCACCTTGATTACAATTTCAGATACCTGTATTTGCCCAACTGAATTGGTTTAAAGAGAGAAAACATTTTGACTAAAAGTTGACTAAAATGTAATTTTTCATCGACTAAAAGTAGACTAAAACGTTTTGAGTTTTCGTCGACTAAAACTAGACTAACACGTTTTGAGTTTTCGTCGACTAAAACTAGACTAAAACTATGAAGGATAGAAATGACTAAAATGTGACTAAAACTAATTACCATTTTCGTCTAAAGACTAAGACTAAGACTAAATCAAAAACAGCTGCCAAAATTAACACTGCAGGACAGACTGGAACAGAATGCAAACACATGCAGACACATGATTTGATTAGATTGATTTCTCCATAAACAGGAGTCATTTTGAACCACAAGGCATTTAATCACTTCTCTGCACAATATGATTCCTATATCATAATCCCTATAATTCTCATGATTATGCCATGTTCTGATTCCCTTTGTGGTAGAGTATATAAACCCTGAGAACACATTAATTGAAAGGCATTACACATATTGTACCATATAGCACAGTTTAAAGGTCACCTATTGTGCAAAATCCACTTTCCCCCCCCCCCCCACCTTATCACCTGAGCACCATTGTGTTCTTTTTAACCAAATATCTCTCAGAGGGGCGTGGGGAGTGGCACCTTATGGCCATTTCCACTACAGCGCGGTTTAAGCGTGCCGTGCCCGGCCCGTTTTTGGTTGCGTTTCCACTTGGCGTAGTACCGGCTAGCGGGTACTATCTGGCCCCATAAAATCGAGGTTCTTAGCGGGCCAACAACCAGTCGGGCTGAGTATGCTAAACTAGAGAGAGAATCGCTGGCAAGGGGGCTACAACTACAACAAAATGAACATATTTGACTGTGATTTAATTGTAATACACGTTTAAAAATGATGCCGAAGTAACAACATACTGATACCGGTTAGTAAAAACCATGAATTAATGCTTTGATAAGTCTGCAGACAGACGGCAGGCAAAAAACCTTTTAAAATGCGTGTTTTCTAAATGGAGATCGGCTAAGCTAACGCAGTATATGCTCCGACCGTCCACACTCACAACAACGGCCTATACAGACATAAATAAACCAGCGACTGTATTCGCCATGACACAGGCAGTCTGTGGTTTGTACTTGTTTAACTTTTGTCTAGTTTCTGAACATATATGAGGAGCTGTGAGCTCTGAGTGCTAACAGCTAACGGCTGATGTTGTTTTTCTGTGGTTCACATTGAAGATGACGTCACGGCTCCGCCTACACTGCGTTACTATAGTTACTGCCCCAACTACTAAACTAAACTAAAAGACAGAGAATCAGCACTTTTGAAACAGGGCTGAAACAGAGGGATTATGGGATGCTACTACAATGCATGATCTGTTTGGTATTTCGCACCAAACACTTCAGAGACATGTTTTGTATATATCTGAGACCTATAATATTTTGATGAAAAACAGTATAATAGGGGACCTTTAACATAGTTTGACAGAAAAGTGTGTATTAAAATATTGCCTGTGCCCAGAGGTCACATCATTTTTACAAATCCTTATAAGCTCCTCCTTAAAAGGTATGTTCATCCAACTTTTAAAATAATAAAATTCCCAAGTGGTACGTTGGTGTATAATATTTTTAAAGAATTTATCCAGCTGCTATTTCTTTGGTAGAATGCAGTTCACACCAGTTCATTTCCCTGGCTAGTTGGGACACTACATTTAAAAAAAAACATATCCCATTTTTCTTAATAAATAATATTTCTACCAAATAATTTTGGGTCAGACTACACGAAACATGGGCAAAATAAAGCAAAAGTAATCTACATGGCTGGATACCACAAGAGATCATTTGAGTCAGATGCATCTTGCAGTTTGTTTTGATGCCCCTCGAGGCTTCGATGACCCCCCTCACCTCTCTGTTCTTGGATCCCTCGTGGCTGCTGCTCAGTTTAGCCAAATGAAACTGATATCCCCCCACTCTCCTTGCTCCCATAACAAGATCAACATGTACACAGGCATAGCCATGCTTACATATCTGACTGTGAGGCGTTGACCTTTCTCCACTCGTGCATGCACACATATTTAGACACAGATGACGAAAACAAGTCAGTAAAAGATAAAGAAGGAAGCGTCATGGAGGTAGAGGCGTGTATTCCTGCATATTCCAGTAAAGAGCAGCAGCGCCCTCTACAGGTTCATTGGCTTTGTACTCACTGCCTCTATCTCACATATTGTATTGAATAATATACTGTTTAGATATGGTCTATGAAAAGAGTCCTAAGATAACTTCTGTAATTTAAACAAAGAAGTGATACCACTACCAAACTGTTGTATGCTAAACTCTTTGAATAAACTGAATAGATATTGTTAATAAACATTTTATATTATTGAAGTTAGAAGGCTTTGTAACAAGAATACCAACAGATACTCTACAGGATAGACTCACTGGCTCTATAGTTATTTCTACATAAACCTGTGCATGTAAAGCTAATAAGAAAAACATAGTTTTTTGAAGAAACAGGTGACCATGAATCACTATCATGGTCCAATTTTATGTACTTTTTTATTGGTGCTTGACATAGATACATGTTGCTACTTTAAGTTCAGTGTGTAGAAACAGCAGGAATATAGAAAGATCTAATTGACGCATAATGTTTAGAAAATTTAAAAAAGCTGTGTACACACATATATTATATGGCCCTTATTTAATGAAAAAAGCGTATTGTGAAATAATATGATATTCAGAGGGGAGTGTGATGTCCCTACTCAGTATCAGCTGAGTCATGTTACTATACACATGCTTTACTCAGTAAAGCGCACACACACACACACACACACACACACACACACACACACACACACACACACACACACACACACACACACACACACACACACACACACACACACACACACACACACACACACACACACACCTTGTGAACACACTAATAAACCTTCACAAAACACACACACAAAGCTGCATAAAGGAAGTCATAACTGTTTGAATAATTAATTGCTAGTGAAATTGCGTGGCTCTTGAGTTTCCATGCTGTCATTGTCCCTGTTTCGGGTCGATGGGTGGCGAGGGAAAAGTTAACTTCTCGTGCCAGTTACTCATCGCGTACCAGCTCCAAAACACCCACCCACCCATACACACACACACACACACACACACACACACACACACACACACACACACACACACACACACACACACACACACACACACACACACACACACACACACACACACACACACACACACACACACACACACACACACACACACACACTGGATGGGCATCCATCCCTGTAAAGATGCAGAAACAGAGAGACCACTAAAACTCTTCAGAAGCTTCATTTCCACCTGCGGTAGACACAGGTTCTGTTGGAAGCTGGTGTAAATGTTTTAGGGGTTATAGGACCATGAGAGGAAGATGACTCGGGACAGTCTGATCACCTCTGAGAATGACGGTAGGACCAGATTTCTCTTATTGTTTTTACATATTCATCTTTGGAGGTTGATTATTAGAGGCCAGTCATTCTATGTGCCTATGGAGATACAGGTCTGATTTCTTTGTCATAGATTGTTGCAAATGATCGGCAATTTATGTCAAGTTCATTAGGAATAAATATGACTGATTATTTAAATCAATCAAGGCCCTTTGGATTCTTTGCTTGCTATGATAGGTGATCATAACTGTTTTCCATCAACTGTTTTAGTTTCTTATTTTATTTTTATATTTTTTGGAAGAAATGAAAATGTAAAAACATTTAAAATGTTGAAATATTGAATTTAAAGTATTCAAACCTATGATTCAAACCCTTACTCACCAGTAACACATCTAAACAATTATATATATATATACAAAAAAGTGTTATGCTTATAGTGTGTTAGCTGCTGATTAAACTGATTCAAACTAAATCTTTATAGAAAAACATCCATATTTACTTAAAAGGGTGCCTTAATGTCATTCATATGACATACAAGTAAACACAGAACATCAATCGTCAATTAAAGGCCAAAAACCGAGCACCTCAAATACATTCATCCTCTACTTTCGTGCATCAGTCAGCTGCATATTTGGGAGTTGGCCTCTTGCCCTCGCCTGTCTCCCCATCCTTGTGGGCGTAGCCTGCCGTCTCCCTTCATTAGGCCATTGTTTGTCTGTTTTGTACACTCTATTGCACACAGCCGTAATGACCCCGCCGCTGGCCACTCGGGTTACAATAAGGATACACATCAAAGGGCCGACTACATAAATATCAGCTCAATTTGTCAGTGGTCCTCTTTGTTTTCCTCTTCATCCCCTTCACTGCAGGACAATAGTGCCAGGTATACAATAAGGTAGGCTGAGCTCGATCAGTGAAAGGGGCAGTGTTGTGTTGAAGATATACAAAAAACCTGACTGGATTTATAAAGCTGAGGTCATGAGAGGACGAAGGGGTTGTTGTTGTACTTTATCTGAAAAATACTTATCAACATGAGACAACAGAAAAGCACAAACATTGAATTAGAATTCATAAAAAGAGAAATAATGAAAAAAAGTCTATCATAAATAGTTTGCAGAATGACAATGCTACATTGACATTGAAAAAATGCCGATTTTTTTATAATTTTGCATTAGAACAAGCTGTTCAAACTTTTAAATTCAGCATGTTTAAATGATTCTCTGCAATGGGAAATCACATTATCAGTTACATACAATAAACTCTAATTGTATGATAGCTTAGTGAAGGAAGACCGATTTTAAAATCATGTCACTCACATGGTGTAAAGGTCCAAATCATTGTTCATGGGACTCATCAAATTCGGTTGTTTAAAAATAGTTTAATAAGGCACTTTCAGGAACCTTTTAAACCTTTTAAAAACTTTAAAAAAAACTATTTGTGACATTATCTTTCCCACAGTTGACATTGGACTGGAATTTGAAGGTGAGTAAGATCCTTTGTTACTCCACGAATCATTCAAATGTCCTATGGTTCAATATGATAAAGTGATCATGAAGAGTTTGTCTATATAAACTGAAATATTAGGGATCCACAAGAGTCTGTTCTCTTTGTATTTTCTCATTTTATCCTGTTCTATCTTGGTTGGGATTATGTAGGATCTGTTTGTCATGTCTTGTTGTTCTTTTACTTCTCTGAGTATAGCTTTACTGTCAACACCAATCTTTCTTTAATACCCACTTCTAGTTATCATTGCCGTTTGACCCTCTACCATGACCTGTGTCTCCTATTATCTCAGGATCATAACTCCTGGATAAAAACTTGTCAGTGACAGCTAAAAAGAGATAGTTGACTCAGTAGAGAATAATACAAAACTTCACAATGCTGCAAGACTGCTGCACAGAGAGAAAGAAAGTGATTGATCAATGATTTGATCAAGTTGTAAGTGTTATACATACGGTCAAATAGAACAAATCCCAGGATGGCAATGCTTATTGCAACTTGGAAACATTGCGTTTATGTTTTTGCTACAGGTCTGGAGGATGAAGTTGATACTTTTCAAGAGGAACATGAGAGAGAAAGACACAGAGGAAAAAGAAGGGATGGTGAAAGAGCAAAAAAGAAGAAGAGGGGAAATGGTGAGAGGAGAAAAAGAGCTTCGAATGCGGGGCAAGAGGAAGAAAAATTACAGGCCAGGCGTGAGAAAAAGGGTAGGAGAAAGAGATCAAGCAGTGATCAACAAGCTGAAGGGAGAGAGGGGGATGAGGCGGAGCAGCCAACAACGAAAAGCAGTAAGGCAGCAAAAACAAGGAAGAATGTAAAAAATGAAAAAACAAGAAAAGTGGAGAAGGAGGAAAAGGAGGACGAGGCAGACGATGAAGAGAGAAATGCAAAGAGAAAAAAGAAACATGGAAGTAACAACAAAGAAGAGAATGTAGAGGATGGCAATAAACATACAGTGAAGGAGAAAGCAGGGGAAGTGAAGAAGAAAAAGCACAAGAAAGTAGTGGAAACAAGGTAAAGTACTGTCATATTTTAAAAACTCACAATTCAAATCTGCAATTATCTCCTCAGGAAAACGGTACATTTCATGTACACAATAGAGATGCAAAGACATGTAACACACTACTGTTCTATACCTCAGTTCAGAGAAGGAGACAAGTGAGGAAGAGGACAGTGAAGAAGAGGACAGTGAGGAGAAAGAGGTGAGGCCAGAGACTCTGACTCCTGAGGAGCTGGAGACGCTGAAGGAGGCCGTGGACGAGAGGAAGAAACTGATCCAGGGCCTGAGGGGAAAACCCTGGGCAATGAAAAAGAAACTTGTGACCTTACGGTAAATTCACTCGACAGATTTCTATGAAGCTGCACCATAATCCCATGAGTTCTTAGGATCAGCTGTAATACAACATGTGGCCGTGATTCTCTTTGAAATCTTCTTCTTCCTTGAAGGGAGTCTCAGGAGTTTGTGGAAAAATATGAGGGAGCTTTGGGGAAAGGGAAAGGCAGAAAGCTTTATGCGTACAAGGTCATGATGACCAAGGTAATAAAATCAGTATCGATTTGCATGAATATCAAAATTATTACACTGACTGGATGATGCTTTTTAATGTGTTATATTTCCTTTGAAGAAATGGATGAAGTTTAAACGGGACTTTGAAAACTTCAAAACTGCTTGTATTCCATGGGAGATGAAAATCAAGGAAATTGAAAGTAAGTTTGGTTTATTGGTCAGAATGTTTTTCCACTTCATTACTCTAACTTTATTTTATATTATTCAAGACTTCAAAGTGACTTTCCAAGAAGAATCACATATCTTATACTGTATATTTCCCAGAGCCCCATCTTCCATGCTTTCTGAAAATAATTATGGTGTAACCTCATATTTATTCCCTCTGCCTCTCAGGTCATTTTGGCTCCTCAGTTGCCTCTTACTTTATCTTCCTGAGGTGGATGTATGGCATCAACATGATCTTGTTTTGTCTGACCTTTGGCCTGGTTATGGTGCCAGAGGTAATGTACATGGCTCTTTTTCATCACAACTTCCTGATATTGTGCCTGTAGTTTTGCTCTAATATTTTTTTCTAACAGGCATTAATGGGGCGGCCCTATGGCACCATCCCAAGAAAGACTGTCCCCCGTGCAGAGGCGCCCAGTGCCATGGACTTCGCTGTTTTATGGGACTTTGGAGTCAGTTAATGCAACACTCACCTCAATCTCTTGAATTAGCATTGTTCTGTTTAAGGCCCCATTTACACGGGAACGCAAAGGTAAACGAAACGCAAACGAACCGAATTCGATATCAAAAAAGTCTTCCGTTCACACGGATACGGCTCAATAAACGTGTCCCTTCACACGAGATCGCTCGACCCGCTGGAGACGCTGTAGTACATATGCCGGGCCTGTAAGTGGCGCTGTACTTCTGCCACAAAATACACCAAAAGCAGCGAAGAAGACCCCCGAGCATGGTTGCCATGGTTGCCTGGTTGCCCTTCTGTTTATTCTCCACGGTGGATTTAGCAACATGTAGTTCATGTAGTTCTCCATGTCCACTTGTTGCTGATGGTTGTGGTAGAGGAGCTGTAGATTTGGCACTAACATCTGTAGCATGGTCAGTAGCAGTAGCTACTGACAGTAGCTACTGACCATGCTACAGCAGTGAGCAGCAGAGGTGGGGAGAGGCGGGACTATGGCTTCATCGTTATCAGGAAAATGTTTGGCCCCGCAGAGTGTTCCATCCGCAGATCTATTCACCTTGGGACCCGTTATCGTTTTTGGGGTCCGTTTCCGCGGTTCCGTTACGGCCTCGTGTGAACGAACGGGCTATACGAAAGAGAAAAGTAGCGGATACAACCCGTTTCGTTCCCGTGTAAACAGCACCTAAGTCAGTTTTGTCAAATTGAGATGCATTATTTGTTGCACCTTCCTTAAGCTATAATTTGCGTCTGCAGGGTTACGCTCAGTATTCAGTCCTCTTCTACGGTTACTACAACAACCAGCGTGCCATTGGCTGGTTGAAGTTTCGTATGCCTCTGTCATACTTCCTGGTTGGTGTTGGAACAGTGGCCTATAGCTACATGGTGGTCATAAGAACGTAGGTTTGTTATGACGACATACAATTGATTTAACTTCTTGAGCACAATGTAATACTGAATATTAAATTATTATTTTATAGGATGGCCCGTAATGCAAACGAGTCAGGGGTCGGAGATGACAACAGCTTTAATTTCAGCTGGAAGATGTTCACCAGCTGGGACTACCTGATAGGAAACCCTGAGACTGCAGACAATAAGTTTGCTTCCATCACCACCATTTTCAAGGTCAGTGCAGCCGATCCAGTAAAACCATTTATTTCTAATTCTTCTTCTTCTATATCCTGCATATGCCACTTCTACCCATGTAGGAGGCTATCTTAGAGGAGCAGGAGAGCCGAAAGGACGACAACATCCATCTGACTCGATTTCTGCGTGTTCTGGCCAACTTCCTGGTCTTGTGCTGCTTGGCAGGAAGTGGATACCTGATCTACTTTGTGGTGCGCCGCTCGCAGAAGTTCGCCCTTGACGGACTGGAGAATCACACCTGGTGGGAAAGGAATGAGGTAGCCATGAGAGAAGCAATCTGAATAAATATAGTGAAATATGTTAATACCAGGCAAGTTCAGTATAAATATTTGTGTGGTCTATCGTTTTGAAGTCATTTAAAAGATTTGGCCTCAAGTCTTTAGTTTGACATTGTTATGCAAATAAAATCTACAGAAGCCCTGAGAGGCAGGTGCTTTTTTTGTAAGTGTGCTTTAAATTACGTTATCCTGTTTTATGTCCTAAAAACAGGTTGAGGGGGGTTTTGCAAGGATAATATTTCCAAGTTAATTCATTTAAAAAATATTTGAAACTAGTCAAAAAAACAGATAACAACCTTTACATATATTTCACTATCTGTGAAAACAGGTAGAGAAAAAAATGAATGGGACAGGACTGTCAGACGAAATAAATAAAATAGTAGCATAGAAAGAGTAACAAAACACCTTTTTCAACTGTTCTTAAGTTATAAAGACAGGCTTTTTTGATTTGCAAATGTAATCTCAAATCATTTTACCTGCCTCTCAGGGCTTCCATAAAATGTACACCTTTAACTTAGAACATTTTAATTATTATAATTGTTTTGTTTTTCTCAGGTGAACATGGTCATGTCATTGCTGGGGATGTTCTGCCCCATGCTGTTTGACGTCATCAGCGCCCTGGAGAACTACCACCCTCGGGTCGCCCTGCAGTGGCAGCTCGGTCGCATCTTTGCCCTCTTCTTAGGAAATCTGTACACCTTCATCATCGCACTCATGGATGAAATCAACCTCAAAGTGAGAAATAGAGCATGAACACATGGGAGATAGTTTATAATTGTATAACAAGCGTAACCTGTGATGTGAATATGTGCTGCAGAGGGAAGAGGAAAAGATAGTCAAGTTTAATATAACCACGTGGGAAGCCAGTCTCTACAATATCTCAGCATCAGAAAACAGCACAGCTCCACCCGTCACCATCCAGCCGGCGGATGTCCCCAGAGGGCCCTGCTGGGAGACCATGGTGGGCCAGGTCAGTGTGAATGTGTGTGTAGATTATCATGTAATGGTGTGACGTGATTTAAGAGCATACATTTAAGATACGCAATGTGACCAACATTAAATACAAATATAGGACATAGTGAAATAACCATATGAATTAATACAAACAAAATGTGTAATATAACAAATTAATGGCTAAATGTTTTAATAGAATACATTATTAAACTCAGCTCAGGATTGTGACATTTTATATTTACATTACTTTCACAAATCAAGCAGAAACACTAAAGGTATCAATGAGTAGATAGCCATTTTTAGACATTTTGTTTCAAGATTGAATTCAGCAATGAAAAAATAAAAAAGAGAATTGCTAAAATCACAATCTGATACTTTTAGAAATATTTACTGAAAAGTAAGACAAATAAAAACTTCCTACAAATTAAGATTTGTTGTTAAAATAGTTGTGCATGTTATGTAGGACATATAATTAATTTAAATATGTATACACAATAAACATGCATGTTAAATATATAGATGTATACTCAGTTATAAAGTGGTAAACAAAAAAAGATCAACCAATGAGGATGACACTATTATTTATTTTGAACTTCCCATAGCATTATACTTATACTGTGTACATATTTACATTTATTATGTTATATTATTGTTTCATCCTTTGCAGGAGTTTGTCCGGCTGATGATATCTGATACGATGACGACCTACATCACGCTGCTGATCGGCGACTTCCTGAGAGCTGTGCTTGTTCGTTTTCTCAACTACTGCTGGTGCTGGGACCTTGAAGCTGGATTTGTGAGTCATAACAGTCACCATGCCTCTGAATTCATGAAATATTTATATTTGATTGCATACAAAAACCTTTGCCTTTTTCCTAGAGGTGATATATAAGTGAATCTTTGAAATGATGAGTCACGGTACTGTTTTGGTTGTTGTTTGTGAAAGCCATCCTACTCTGAGTTTGATGTCAGTGGGAACGTACTGGGGCTGATCTTCAATCAGGGAATGATATGGTGAGAAAACGACATTAGTTTTATTTAAATCTTTAGATGGATAGCATGTTCAGTCTGTCCTTTGGGTTTTGCCTTATCTTTCCTCCAGGATGGGGGCTTTCTATGCCCCCTGCCTGCCCGCCCTGAACCTCCTCCGGCTCCACGTGTCCATGTACCTGCAGTGCTGGGCCGTGATGTGCTGTAATGTGCCGCAGGAAAGGGTCTTCAAGGCCTCAGGCTCCAACAACTTCTACATGGCCATGTTGCTGGTCATCCTCTTCCTATCCACTCTGCCTGCCATCTACACCATCGTCACCATCCCCCCTTCCTTTGACTGTGGACCCTTCAGGTAATGATGTTTGTTTTAAGGATTTACAATTGAATTACTTTACGTTCTGTCCTAGTCATTTTCTCTCTCCATAGTGGGAAGAAACATATGTTTGATGTGATCCAGGAGACTCTTGAGTCGGACTTCCCCGCCTGGATCAGTAAAGTCTTCAGCTCTGCCTCGAACCCTGGACTGGTGCTACCCTTCATATTGCTCATGGTGTGAGTCAGCAGAAGACTGCATTTAAATATATTGTTTTGCACAGCTTAATTAAGATATATTTAATGACCATTTTGTCATCATTTTCATTCTTAAATTGCAGTTTAAGGCTCTTTGATGTTTATAATCTGTTATTTTATCTTTCAGACTGGCTATTTATTACTTACAGTCCACATCTAAAAGCTACAAAGAAGCTAATGTTGACCTGAAGAAAAAACTACAGACGGTAAACCAAGACTAGAGTTTGTGTTTTCTTCTCATCTAGCACTGTATCCACCTTTAGAAATCCTGGAAAGAATAAAGTTTGCATTTGAAATTTCAGATGAATAACACTAAGATGGAGATGGTGGAAAGTTGAAGAAATGTTTATGAAAAAACAAGACATGGAGTATGTGACAATGTTATCCAACACTCTAAATAAAGAGGGAAAACTCAATTTTAGGCAAGTAATGTAACAAATTAACAGGAACTTGCACATTTGTTATTTGTTTACCTTCAATAAAATATTTAGCCGCTTCAAAACTTCTTTACAGTAAGTAGCACCAACAGGTCACATGAGGCCACCGATTCCACATCAGTTGTGTTAATATCATCACTCCAGCAGAGAGCAGCAGAGTAACAGCTCATATCTGTTACAGAGAGTATCATCAGCCGCTCAATAAGTGATTTCTCAAGTTCTCTGTGTGGATGTTGTTCTCTGAGTGAGATGAATATGCTTTATTTCTTTAGTCAGTCTTACAAATTGCTTTATGTCTCATTCAAGCAAAATGAGGAGAACAAGAAGAAGAACAAACTAGCAGCGTTAAAGGCCCAGATGGATTTAGAAGAGGCCCGAAAAGCGGCATCACCTTCTGCAGAGCATCAAAAGAACAACAACGCTTCACCAGACCAAGAAGGTGGGACTCTAATGTAAACAATAAGTACATTTGTGAACTTGAATGAAAATATGAACTTTTAATCTATGGAGGCCTGACACTGTCAAGAAGAACACAAGGCTTTTACAAGTCAGAAAAACAACTGAATAAATAATTAAAATAATTAAAATGTGAGTTCAAAGAAAAATAAAGCTTTATACTTTTACTTTAACATACGAACAAGCACACACGTTGTATTCTTTACCACAAATCAGCCAATATATGTTAATAACTTTCTTTCTTTACACACATTAAATCATTTATCTAGTTATTTCATATATTCCCATTACCAGCCAAATGTGTTGTACGCTTTACAGTTTTTTGCCCTCCCTTCTCCTTTAGCAGATGAGGAAGAAGACCGTGGCAGAGGTCAGAGGATGTATCATAGTAAAAATGGACGCAGCCCTCCTCCTCCTCGCCATGACGGCCATCTTCCTGCCACCAGAGCCCCTGTACCCAGGAACTATCACCACGGTAACCAGGGGTCTGCTGGGTACCTGCCGGGTTTCCCTCGGGAAAGTGAAGCCAGGATGCACAGGGTGCCGAGTCTGCAGAGACACTGAGGGAATGAAGAAAAAAACAGCATGTCACTCAAAACTATGCACTTTATTGAGAATTTTGAATAATTATATGTTAGTCTGTTAGTCCTTAATATAAGTGTTTTTAAAACTGCATTTATGATAAAATAACCTGAAAGCAGTGCAAATGACCAGTGTAATTGTTAATTTGTTCACTGTATAAACTCTAACAATACAATATTCTCATTTTCTTTACATTTAATTTTTTTAGTTCCAACATTTCCCAAATCTTTTCAAAGCATTGATCACTAAGTTTGTAAGCTAAATCTGTTTTAAATTGTACATTTATTTGTAATACTATGAGTAAGCTGACAATCCTTCTGTCCATCAAACAAAACAGGGTAACATTTCTGCTTTAGAATTACCCATGAAAGAAATCCAAAGCTTGTGTTGACCCAACTAAAGATTCATATGGGAACTGAATTATGATAAGCTTATGTATAAAAAGGATTTAATAATCTAATATATATCTTTTAAGTCAGTATCTATCACCAAAAGAGGTAACACAATGGGGATTGAGCCTGATAAAAGCCCTTAAACTTAAAGGTGGGGTAGGTAATTTTGGAGAAACCAGCTCGAGTGGGCTAGAATTTGAAAATACACAACCGGAAAAAATCTGCCACTTCCTTACAGAGCCCCTCCTCCAACACACACGAACGCGCACATGACCAATGAGGGCACGAGATAAGTTTGTGCACAGATGGAAGGCTGATAGGCAGGTAGGCCATCCAGTTATTTTAGCCGGGCCGGCTAAAATGATTGGTCGTGCTTTTTACAGTACTACGGCTTCCACAGATGACATTTTTTTATGGATTTTTTGTCAAAGCATTTAAGATATTCATTGCTATCGGGATGTTAAGAGCATTCCATGGAATATAACAAAAAGTGTATCTCGAGCCGGTTTCTCAAACTTACCTACCCTACCTTTAAGGCTGCCAAAGAGAGGAGAAAACAGAATTAATATTAACTTTATTTTACAATAAAAAAAGATAACTTCCCATTCCCTTGTCATTTTTCATTCAATTAAATCTCAAGGCAGTAAATTAGTGAGCACTAGACGGATTTGTATAGTTATAAGAATCGGAACACATATTATTTTCTTCTCTGCTACAACATAGATTTGTTCACATGCGATAACCTTACTTTAACTTGTTGCTATTAGTCTTTGTTGATAATTCACTTTCCTAACAAATAGTTATTTTGATAAACAATTATTTTAAAACCGAATTCACAGCATATATTTTTCTCTTGGCCCCTCACACTGAGACTCTGAGCGCAGCTGTCCCTGGACCTGTGACTGGAACAAAGCATTAAACAATTCATTAGACATGGAAGCCATTTAACCTTAGCTAGCCGGGCTTAAATGGATCTCTTGCTCATCTCTGGCTGGACACACTCAACTTAAACCTGTTTTTCAGCTGTACGATACAAGTGAGGCTAAAACTGTAAATCACACACAAGAGAGTCAGATTATGTATTTTTCGGATATTAAAGACACAAATGTAGTCGTTGCCAACATTCAGATTTGAGCTGTCAGTCTTGTAATTGTTGTTTCCTGACCTCCATCATGTAGCATGGATACTCGTATCATCTGATAACTGCGTTGCCATATCCAGTGTCCTGTCAATCAGCCCGTCATCAAGCAGTCCTGTCAGGCAGATGTAAAGTGATGGTGTCGTCTCATTAGTTTAACTTTATTACCATGAAATTCAATATATTGTTGGTTATTCAAGGACATGAAATGTAATATCTGAGTGTTGAAAGGCTTGTCAATGAGGAATAAGTGTTGTGTCTAAATCATTCAAGACAACAACTCAACATGCTCATAGCGCCACTGACTGAATTACAGTGCCAATCAAATCCACTTCCATTGATGCTCATGATCAATTCATGGTAAGTAAGCATTAAGAATTAATTCTGCAGTTATATGAGAACTTAAGGATGGAGTAGGCCTATGCTTTATTCACTTATCATTGGCCAAGATTTGTCAATTCAATTATTTAATAAAGACTCAAGGAAGACTGAATAAATCATCTTGAGATGATCTGCATCCGTTATATTTATTCTGGTAATAACAGCCCCCTAATGCTCAGGGTCCCCCTCCTTCTGCTGCTGTTGTGTTTTGGCTCCGTCCCAGTTCCCCTCCATGCTGGCACACTGTAGAAAACTGAGCCCTGATGGGTTGCACATTACCGGATATCTCAATGTCTGGTGTGCCATGATGGGTATATATTTGATTAACTAATGGTGAGGGTAGGAGCAAGTTATTGCGGAACTACAAGCACTGATTTGACTGCTGGTACGGTGTCCTATTTATCATTTGGAGAGCAAAGAGTTTAAACTTAGTGCAAAGCTTATTTAATGTATCTTTAATATATAGGCATCTTGACCTTCTGTAAGATTAATTACAGTATATTGAGAAAAGGGATGGGGAGGAATACTGAATGTTTGTAGTAAAGGGAGGAGACAGTCAAGGGGAGGAGCGACAAAAGCTACGACACTGAGGGATTAGTTTTTCTTTCAGGTACAAGCTCAAGCCAGCATTCAACCCCAGGAAGTCTGTTGCTCTCTGTGTCGGCAGCCGGGCGTCTCCGGTTTCCTCCTGTATTATTCAAAAGGTCAGATCTGACAATTGACCATAACTACACAGGTAGTAGTGGCTGCATCTCAGTGGTTGGAATACTGCGCTTGAACGTGAACTTAAGTCATTATCCAGCATTTTTTAATGTTTACATAATTATCTGTTTATGAAAGGATATGCCAATCAGTGATAAGTCACTCCTGAAACTATGGCAAACTGGATCTCTTATATGGCCAATAAGAGGCTTTAGCAGTCAAACAAAAATTGTATTTTACAAAGCCCTAGTCAGTCTTTTTGTACAAAGTGTTTCCTTGTTGAGTTACAGCGAAAATATATTTACTCCAACACAAAAAAAAGACTATGAGTTGTAAAACACCCTCTACTAACTGAGACTGCAAAGAGCTCACTTTAGCTGAACTTTGGACAAAACAATCAATTAGGTCTTTCGATTTACACATGGGCTTGTGACAATTGTTTTGAGATAAACTTTAAAAAATGTTAACCTATCCTTTAATCAATGGTTTGTAAAACTGACGGATTTTTTCATTAAATAAAGCTCTGTTATTGCAGTTACATGTTCACTGAGTAACTATTGTTTGTTTACTTGTAGCACACTCCCTCAGAGAAGTCTTACAATATTTAAGTATAGTGACTTGTTTCACTTTTCACTCAGGATTACTTAAGCATTCATTTAACTTTAATGGGAGCTGATCATCATGTCAACAATTGCTGTGGTGTCTCATTTCTGGGTCACAGATGATGCCGATGATGACCTTCTTTTTTCTGTGTCAAAGTCTTGTATGATCCCACAAATGATATTACAACTTTACAAATTGTTAGCCATTATCCAATTTAAATAAACTTGAGAAGGTGGATTGTGTCCAAGCTCTTGTTCAAGTCAAATATCAATTTGCATTTTGATTGACAAGTCCATTGTGTGATCCTGTTTTCTCTCGGGCTCCTTGTTATAATCGAATGACCTGTGTTGTCTGTGGCGGTCGTCAAGGAGGCTCAGCAGAGGAACACCTGTTTCTGCATGTGTGTGTGTGTGTGTGTGTGTGTGTGTGTGTGTGTGTGTGTGTGTGTGTGTGTGTGTGTGTGTGTGTGTGTGTGTGTGTGTGTGTGTGTGTGTGTGTGTGTGTGTGTGTGTGTGTGTGTGTGTGTGTGTGTATCCTGGCTTTTTGTCGCAGTACCATCACAAGTGTTATAGCTCCTTTAAACTGGGTGACTCATGGAAGGAGAGGAAGCAAAAGTGAGCAGACGAGGACTAACTAAAGGAAATAACTAAAAGAGACACAGCAAAATGCCTCCAAAGAGGAAAAACCATTCTGCCATTCGGGTTGAAGAAGGTAAGAAGATTTGTTGCATGCTATTTTGATAAAAGTAACAGTTTTTTTTAATGTTTCTAACAATCACTCTTCAGCTCTAACTATTTACTTTTTGATAATCACTGAGTAAACTTAATTATTTTGGGGTTATGAAAGTGTTGGACAGTAACTACATTTAATTAAGTACAATTTGGAGGTACCTAGCTTGACAATTTCTATTGTGTGCTACTTTAAACTTCTGCTCTACAACAATTAAAAGGCATGTTTTTGTTTGGGTTGAGATGTATCCTCTTCATTTGTGCTTTTTGCTCTACATGTTCCCAGTTGGGATGGAGGTTGATGCTGTATCAGACAGTGGAAGTGAAGGTGAGTTTGTTTGCTTTTCATCAGAGAAGCAATTCAATGGAGCAGGATTTGACCATGTCATGATCTTTTTCAAGAATATTATGAACAAATAAGTATAAATACCACTGTGTTTTTCCCTATTTTGCTTCTCTTGTCCAAGATTAGTTGCAACTTTAAAACATTCCTCTTTGATAGAGACTTAATAAAACAATTTCAGATGATCTTTTTGCACCGCGTCCTTTGAATACTTTGTACTATTGATGAGCTATAATTAAATTATAGTATTATTATTACCTGATGTCACGTTGGATGAATTTTCAGCTGTTTACTTATAATGTGCATGTTTTTTTCTCAGACGAGGCCAGGAGGAGAGCTCAAAACAGAAGAGCCAAACCACAACGTAAAGCCAAAAAGGTCAGCGAGGATGACGAGGATGACGAAGATGAGGATGAGGCACCAAGGAAGAAAGGACGAAGGAAGAAGACCAAGCCACAGGACAGCGATGAAGGCGACGAGGAAGACAAGCGGAGTGTGAAAAGAAAAACTTCCAGGAAGAAAGCTAAGGAGGAGAGCGACGAGGAGAGCAAAGAAGACAAAAAGAAAAGAAGAAAGCAAGGGACAGCCGGGTCCAAAAAGGATCAGGAGGAGCAGAACAAAGAGAAGGGGAATGTTAAAGGGAAACAAGGGAAGGATAAAGGTGGGGAGAAGGACAAGAAAAAGAAGAATGGGAA